TTCGAACCGCTGACCTTCTGATCGGCAAGTCCTAGGCTCTGTGGTTTAACCCACAGCACCACCCACGTCCCAGGGTTTAGCATACTCCAGGTCTTATCAGCTGCATAAGGTTCCAGTTTGCCAGTAAGGCCGCTTTGGAGCTGTCCGGGGTCTTGTTTTTAATCTGCCTTCTGCTTAGACCTGACTTGTCACTGTCTGAGTCTTCAGCACTCACGGGACTGGACAGTTCTAGACTGAGAAGTTGCTTGCAGCAGCAGTCCTTGCAAGAGCATAAAAAGAACCCTGTTCTATCAGCCCATCTAATCCAGCATCAAGTTTTCACCACGACAGGTCAGAGATCTCCGGTAAGCTATAAAGAAAACCTACTTTCCACCCCCTAAGTTCCACTTTGCTATCATGGCCATTAGCTGTTGACAGATCTGCCCTCTATGAATTTGTCTAACCTCTTCTTAAAAGCAATCTAAGTCAGTGGTCATTTTCAGATCCTTGGATGGTGAATTACCGCCACAGGATGACAGTTATGAGAGTTAACTGTGTGCTTTGTGAAATACTCTTTCCTTTTGTCCTTTCGGAAACTCCTGAAAACCTATTAAACTGGAAGGCTGTCGTTTGAGTATTATGAGATCTACTTATCTCCATACCATTCATGTTGCTAATTAGACATTTATAGGACGACGCAGTGAATTTTCAGTGACCTTCTCGCCATGAGCCCAAGATCCTTTCCCTGGACGATCCTTGCCAGTTCACACCTAACAATATGGTTTTTTAATTTATTATACAGCAATTACATAGAATTTCATTTCCCATTTTCTTTCCTTTCCACCTAGTTTGGAGATGTCATTCCAGACATTATGAATAATGCCACAACCCTGGCTAACTCCATGCCATTTTTGAAAAACCTAGCACCAGTCCCAGTACAAATCCTTGAGAAAGATTCCTGCTTACTTACTTCCAGTGTGAAAACTATCCATTTATTCCTACACTCTGCTCTCTGTTTTAATAACCAGTTATTGATCCATATGAGGTTACATGGCGTGGAGCATAGTTCATGGGCTTGCACTTCTGGTGGCTCTGCTAACCTACCCAGGAGTATAAAGAAGAATTAATTGCAGTAATCTGCCTTCCTTGGGGAAAATATACCGCCATATCCAAGCACTAGAAATCTCCAGGTCCATCTAGAATCTGGCAGTTTTATCTGCTAGATTCAATTTCATATTATTCGGGTATAGCTTCCTGACACAAACACTGTTTTATCCGACAGCTTTTTCCTTTCCTTCCTTTTGTAAAACCGGCACGTAATTGCTGTTAGTATTATGGAGAGTTAAAAGTGCACATATCAAGGCTAGATTAGCCCCTTAAGTGTTTGAACTGTAATATTAATTCTTTCTGTTGGGAAGGTTTTCCCTCATGCCTATAATAAAACTATATAATGGTGCATAAAACAGAAAGGTCTCTGAAGGTTGGTTCAGGCTGTTATTTTAAACTATTATCTAATGTGAAATTCTGTCCAAAGTTTAGCAGGATCATATGACTTAGCAGAAGTCAGCCATTTAAAGAACATTAACAGAGCCGTTCCTTATGTGGAAACTTACCAGTCTTGTGGGACGCGATGTTCTTTCTTTGAGAATCAACTGAAATGACACGGCCAATTGTAGCCACTTTGCAGAACCTCTAAGGCTTATTGTGTTTCTTCAAACAGAATATTATGGGATGAGGGGTTTGAGCCAATATCAGTTCTACCCATTGAAATGAATGAGCCACTACTAATTCAAGTCCATGACTTTCAGTGGGTTTACTTTGTGCAAAAGTTACGTTGGATACAAGCCAAAATATTTAATTGCACACACATTTAAATCCTATCCTCTGTGATCCAAGAGAATAAAACCTCTATGGAATTCAGCATGAGAGATACGTTTTGTATAATGCAAACCTATACATGTCTACTCAGAAGTAAATCCCACTGTTTTCAGTGGGACTTATTCCCAAACCCTGGATGACTTGGAACTTTGATATTTGAAAAAGCCATTCCACTTATACCAGCTGGCAGGGGGCTGCTTGGAGTCCCATCGATGAGTGTAGCTCATCTTATGAGGACATGGAAAAGGGCCTTCTCTGTAGCTTTGGAGCTCCACCTTCTAAGATGGTGACAATATTTATGGGATCCTGTCACATGGTGACTACATTTTTGTTTTCTCGTGCTTTTGGAAGTTCAGTTCAGTTAGCCACTCGTCTATATTTCCATTGTTTGCTTTCATTGTTGATACTAACATTTTAACTGTAACTTGGATAGCTTTAAAAGAAGATTACTAGGGTTGCCATATTTCAAACAGTGAAAATCTGGACAGAGAAGTTGTTGAGCTTTTTTTTTGGCCGAAGTTTTTGTAGTTTTGCCCAGCCCAAAGTTGTTGAGCTTCTTGGGGAAAATCACAAAAAAATGCTTTTTTATGGGAAAACAGCAAAAACGGCATTGTCGATATTGGCTGCCATACATCTGTATTTTTCCATTTTCCTGATTTCTGCCCGGACACTGCTGCCAACTTCAGTATTCCACATATGTCTTGGGAAATCCGGACGTATGGCAACCCATTAGACACATTCAAGGAACAGAGGACTAGCAATGGCTACTAGCCATGATGGCTGTGCTCTGCCTCCTGTTGCCGAGGCAGAAATACTCCTGAATACCAGATGCTAGAAACCACAGAAGCAAAATGTACTCTTGTGCTTGAATTCTACTTGCTGGTTTCCCACAGGTATCTGGTTGGCCACTGTGAGAACAGGATGCTGGACAAGATGAGCCATTGGCCTGATCCAGCATGCTCTTTTTATGCCCTTAACTTATAAAGTGTATTATTATTATTATTATTATTATTATTATTATTATTATTATTGATTTACTTGTTGCATGGAAACTGTTTTGGGGGTCACGTGTGATGCAAAATGGTATACACAAATCTTTTAGCATACAGTTTTGTATATATTGTTTTCTCAGTGGTCATTTGCTTCGACAATTAGAGCCGGTTGAAAGTAAAAGAATGCTCCAACCAGTCTAACAAGGTGATGCATGCTGGGAAGCAGAGGAACACAAGATGCTGCCTTATATATATGAGTCAGACTGTTGGACCATCTAGTTCAGTACAGTGGTACCTCAGGTTACAGACACTTCAGGTTACAGTCGCTTCAGGTTACAGACTCCACTAACCCAGAAATAGTACCTCAGGTTAAGAACTTTGCTTTAGGATAAGAACAGAAATCACAGTGGCGGCACGGCGGCAGCGGGAGGCCCCATTAGCTAAAGTGGTGCTTCAGGTTAAGAACAGTTTAAGGTTAAGAACGGACCTCCGGAACGAATTAAGTTCTTAACCAGAGGTATCACTGTATTGCCTACACTGGCTGGCTGCAGCTATCCAGGGTTTCATGCAGAGGTCTCTTCCAGAATATGAGGATTGGACTGGGACCTTGCTGATGCCTGGGCAACAGCACTGAGCTATAGCCATTCCCCAAAGGCCATCTTTGTCTCCAGAAAACTTTGGCTCCAGGTTGGAATGATCTTCCAAGGCATTTGACTCGGGGAGGGTGGTGGTGGTGGAGAGAAAGTATTTAATAAACAAATGCAATAATCACCAGTAACCCCAACTAAGGATGTGAAACAAAAAAAAGCAGGACTTTATTCTGGTTTGAAAGGAGAGAGAGAGAAAAAAAGATCTACGAATATCTTTGACCGAATGAACATTGTATGAATATTTCAAGATGTTCCTTACGGAATAAGAGTCAACAATGACTATTATTCTAGACAACTTCACATTGTAGCGAAGACATCCTGTGCACAATTAAATAAATTAGTGCAACACCATCTCCATTTTTTTGGCATTTCTGGATCTCTAAAAATCGGCCTTATGTTAACACAGTGGAATTTACATAAAGCATAGCAATGGCTGGGTCAGTGACAGTTCATCTGCAGAGGGATATGTGTGCATCGCTGCATCTGAATACATTCCAACGTATCTTAAAGTCAAATGATGTAACCAGGAACAGACGAGCTATAAATTCACCTCCTTTTACATTCCCACTTATGCAGGCTGATGACAAAACAAAAATGTGTAGCACTTAGCGGGGGCAGCGGGGAGGAGAGAGATGGAAACCAGAATGAGATACAACTAAAATAATAGGAAACAATTACATGTCATAAATTGTATGAGCTAGAAAATGTGGTCTGTCAAGGAACTGGACGTTTAATTATTATAATCATTATAAATAGCAGCTAACTGAAAGTGAAGATCCCCTTTCTATCTAGAACTTTGCTCATGAGCGTTTAATACGCTCCCTATTAAGATGCAGTCAGAGCAACAAAAATCCAGATGTCTTCCACTAATCTTCCTTGGTACAGTCTTGACAATCCGATCCCAAGGCTAGTGTGCTATGCAATTGGTCCTGCATTCTCCATTTTACTGCACTTGTGCCATGAGCGGATGTGAGGGTGTGATGGCCTGGGATTTGGATTCGGAGGCTAAACCTGAGGAATCCCAGCCTGCACAGGAGTCCCCGTCTCCAGAACCAGCTGAGCTGGGGCTTTGGCTTGAGCCTGAAGGGTCCTCACCTGTGCTGGATCCTCAGGTGCAGGCACCAACTGAGTCTGCTCTGGCCCCTGAGGTGATGGAGGACCCATTGCCTGCAGGTGCTCCACTCTCAGCCCTGCCAGGGGAAGAGGAGGTTGCCTCTGGGTCCGGTAACCCTCCAGCCTCTCCTGAGCTACAGAGGCTCAGGGCAGAAAGTTGGAGGGAACTAAGTTCCCGCAGGAGGAGTGCTCGCCTCTAGGCCAGGAGAGGCGAGTCACTGTGGACCGAGACCGCCCTATGCCTCGGGGCAGATAAAAGCCAGCCAGCCCAGTCTCAGGTTGCGGGAGCAACATTGCTGGTAGCCTGTTCCTGCCTGCACCCTGTCCTGCTCTTCTGCCAGAGTTCCTGACCTCACCCAACTCCCTGCCTTGGACCCCGCTTCAGCTTTGACGGACAGCCTCCATACCGCACCCTCAACCTTGGACTGGACTCGGACCTCACCGCACAGTTAGCCCTCGGGACCAGCACAGAGATACCACAGTGTCGCAGCAGCCAGGTCAATGCTACTAGGAAGAACCGCCCTACCCAGATGCAGCAAAGCACCAATGCACAGTATTCTAGAGCAGCACAGAACTTAAGATGCTAAGGCCTCACCCTAAAGACTTTCTTGATGCTCCAGAGCCATCTATACAAGTACATGGCAAGTGACAGTTAAGAGATTGGAAGGAAACTCATACAGCAGTAGTATAGCGTGCTTCATTTTCTCCTTTGCCCTATACATTTTGATGTGGGAAAGAATCTAATTGTGCCTGTGGGGTGTGCAGTTCCAGTGTCTTTGACCTTTGTACTCCAGGCTGGCAGGGAGCTTCGTCCCTCAGTCCTGCGCCATTGCACAATGCCAACAGGGTTCACTGCAGAGATGACCTAGTGAGCTAGCTAGCCCTACCATCCATTGGTGGAGCTGTCTTATAGCAAAATGGTACCAGACTTGCTTAAGACGCATCTCACATTTGTACGTAGGAGAATGTGAAGCCGTGACCCAAATGTTCATTGACTTGGGTGAAAATACCAATTTAATGGCTCCATTTTCTTTCAGTTTCTGGCAGCGATGCAGCAACGGTTTCTATTCTGCTGGACAGAATTCTCTGGTGTGCTAAAATCTATCTACTTTTCGAATGAGTGTTTTCATTACTGTCCTTAACACTGAAAAAATGGAGGGAAAACATAATTGCACACACTATAACAGAATATGAAGATTGGCAAGGGGTACTTATTTATTAAACATCATGACTGACTTCCCTACTTTGTTTGATACTTAGTAAATCGCAGGTAAAAATATATTGAAGCGGGTGTTCTAAGAGCAATTCGATTGTCTTCCCTATCATTTTCATGGCGAGGCTCCTTCATCTGAATTACCCTTGGTTTTTAACCTCACCATTCCTGCCAAGTAATTTGAATCAAGGTTTCAGGATTTACAAAGTCATGAAGAAAAGTCCTGGAGATCTCTGTTGCACTTTGGAAGGAGTTCTGGTTACAGATGTTCATCTTGAGCATGAAAGGGTTAGACTCACGAGTTTCTGTCTTTAAAATGTATTCCATTCTTTGTAAGAAAGTCACAGATTGAGAAGTGTGGTCTCCTTGTTAAAAAGGAGCACTGCTCAAGTTTGTGCCAGCTGTTTTGAAAAGTTGGCAGTCCAGACTTGATACTTTTTTTCACAAAATGAATGTCTCTGGGCAATGCAGCTGTAAATCCCATCGGTCCAACTTTGGCACATGTTTACATTTTGCTACCGTGTTACCTGCAAACAAAGAAAAAGAGGAAAGTGACAATTGTGTATAAATAGTTTGATAGTGGCAAATACTGGCAGGAGGAGATGAATTCTCCAGAGATTTCATAAATTCCCACACGTTCAGGGTTTCAACTGCTGACCTGTACTTGCTAGATTATACACATTTCTGAGCACTGTAAGCATTCTACATGCATACAGAAACAGGAATAGAGAAAGGAGGGAGCTGCTTTGGGGAAGCAAGTCAGTATTAACAGCCAATTGGTGACAGCTTTTTCTATGTATGACCACAGACGACCACAGCACCTGGAGACAATCAGTCAGGTCATATATCCACAGCCGTGACCACAGGAGAAATGAGTGCTGGGAGGAGCACAGAAAGAAGAAGCACCATGGTACACCCACATCAGTACAACTGGATGCCTTCATCTGCCCCAGCTGCAACAAAACATGTCTCTCTACAGCCACAGCAGCCACTGTAACTCTCCAATGATTTGGCTTCATCCCCGGAGGCACACTCTTCCATTGTCTCCCAGGACAGATGGATGGCAACAATTTGTTTTTTCTATGTATTGCAGCAATTGCACAGATTGCACGGATATTTGTTCAAATAAAACAATTGTTTTTTTATTGGTTTTTATTAGGGGTTTTTGTGTGTGTCTGTAACAATGCAAACAGATAAACAGGGAAAGGCACACCTATTGTCAGGAGTTCAGCCTACACTCGAGTAGGATGCTGGTAGAGACACATGCCCGACTGGCATGTTCCCTCCCTCCTGGTCGATCGTTCGGGAGCTTCATAAGCTTTCTTCAGCCCAAACATCACAGCGACCGACGCCGGCACACTTAGAGATCCACAGAGTTTGCGCACTTTGCGTGACAGACCTCAGCAACTCAGCTTTTGCATAATCTACTTTATTTACATATAAACACACAGAGAGCACTGCAACATGGCTCCCTCTCTCTCTAGCATCAGACAGCAAAGAGAAAAAGAACAAAGGACAATAGTCCCACTTCACGGAACACAGTAACACAAACATCCTGTCTCCGTCACTTCCCACTTTGTGGAGTCAAAACATACACCATCATGTGAAAGACAAAAATCCTATGACAGCAATCATGGAGCAGGAATTCTAACACCTATTGCCTCCACTTTCAGTTCATAGTCTTTTTCACAGTTTGCTTATGTTTGGTGAGAGACATTTTTGTCATATACATCTTGCAGTTGGGGAAAAGGTAAGGGGGGGAGAGAGATGGGGATATTGTTCTTTTGTTCTATTGCCTATTCTTAACGTCGGAGGGTTGTGTCAGAATGTTTGTGTATTTATTTATTTTTATTGATATTGCGAGGTTAGGGATTCCCAAGCTTGTTTGGTTGTGCTTAGTTGATTGTGATGTGGCTTATTTGTGTGAGGAAGGCAGGCTAGGGTGTTGGGTCAGGTTAGCCATATTAATTCATATGCTGTTGGAGGGGATAGGCCATTGCTCTGTTGTGCTGTATGTATGTACTAAAGCGGAACCACACTGAGGTCAAGGCATCCTCCGTAGCATGTCCCCTTGCTAGTTCCAATAAAACAATTCTGACCCCATTTTTGCATTTCACATCCGTGAACACAGTTTATTAACTATTGCACCAAATCTTCAAACTGGTTAAAAAAATAATAATAATTCAACGTCCTGAAATCATCATCACAAAATTTGCGGTGATTTGCAGTCAGATGCCACAAACCAACCAGAGCCATCACGTACTTCACTGGACATAAGAGTCTTAAAATGAAATTCACCACAAATGTTTCTCTGGAGGAACAGAAAGAACGTCCAGGCTCCAACCCCAGGAAGGGTCGGAAAGACATTTTGGAGGAGGAGCCCAACAACCCACTGGTGACCCAAGACCATTCACTATCCTGTTGGTACTGTTGGATCTGTACCCAGGCACCAATGAATGACCTCCATCTCAAACTCCACCTTCTGCTGTATCCCAGCTAGTGCATTGCCACATTAATCCCATTGTAGTTGTAGATCCCCCAGACACTCCCCAAGGTCCTCCTTGGGGATATGAAACACCATGCAGGTCTTCATCTACTAGTTGTTATCCACTATCTATAACCTGCCATTGGTTGTTCTGTACCCCAGGTCAGTTTCCTGATACTTTGCTCAACATGGGGAGCCTCCACAAGCACAGACCAGCTCTCCACTTCAGACACCCTCCTTTGTGTGGGAGCACTCATCCCTGCTGCCTCCCCTTGCATGCTTATTCAACCCATTCAGGAAACGCCTAGAGAAGGTTGCTGTCTCTCTACTACCAATGCCGCAACCTTGTTTTGGAAGTGCAGTTTTGACAAGTTCTGGCTGAGATCAACCAGACAGCTCATTTAGAACCAGCAGCTGGCCTAGTGAAGTAATAAATGTATCAATAAACTGACTAACTTTATACCATTATATATTTAAGCTATGTACTAGACACCAGTAGTCAGCGTCTGCAGTACTGTCCTTTATCATTTTTAGAGAGAGAGAGAAACTATTTATGACTGCCCATAACCCAAATGAATTTACTGTTATGGAAATCTTATTCCTACACAGAACTAAAACATGGTATACAGTGCTGGGCATTTTTGCTTGGATTGACAGCAACATTTTAATGAATCTAGAATGATGATGATAATAAAGACCTTATATTGCTTCATGGTGACTTGGGGAATTGTTTCCTTCTTTAACTTACAGAAGTGCCATATACAGTGGCTGTACTTTGGGGAGTCAAAAGTAAAATCAAAATTTTATATTTCTCTTCCCCTCCTCCCCCCTCCCCAAAGCTGGAGCCTCTATACCCTAGATACATGAGTTCACACTATAAAAGGTGGCTTTTGAGCCTTATCTGGATATCCCTTGCCCTTGCTTTTTCACTCCACAAAAGTATACTCCACAAGATAACAAGAAAATGGAAAAGGCCTCTTATCAAATTAAAGATGCTTGCAGCACCTTTGGGTGCAATGCTAACCCATTAAGATCAAAGTAAGCGTTGCCACTGACTTCGATGGGATGTGGATTGCACTCTTGGGGAATCTCTTCTTTGAAGAGGGGAGTTAATAGCTTGTTACTTTAATGAGGCAAAGCCAGTTTAGGGCACTCCTGGGTGCTAATTCAGCACAGTAGTTGATCTCAAATGTGTGCAGAGGCCTAAATCTGAACTGGAAAGTTCCCTATGCCATGTCTGTGTTCCATACTCCACACATGTGAAGAAGAACAGTTCCTGCTCATTGTCAACCTAAGCTCTGCTGAGTCCTATACCCCCCCCCCAACTGCCCCGGAATGGCTCTACATAGACTTCCAGTAGTTTCTGGTCACCTGTTCCTTCCTTATTCCTTTCTCTCTGTGAGCAGGTGCACTGCTGGATGTTTCTCATGATCAAGAATACAGCTGCTTCTGTGCTCCTGTAGCTTCTATCATCATTTGTGCTGTGTTCGTTGTTCCCAGGGCTTTTGTATGTGTAAAACAGCTAGAGGGTGCAATGTGCTGGAAGTGAAACAGCAGAGATCATTCAGTGTGTGGTTTAAGGGTTAATTCTGTTAATTTAAGGTGTTGCAAAGCAACTAGAGAAAGTGGCATGGTCTTTGGTGAGAGCAAGTGTGGTGTAGTGGTTAAGAGCAGTGGACTTGTAATCTGGTGAACCGGGTTCGCTTCCCCACTCCTCCACATGCACCTTGAGCTAGTCACACTTCTCTGAAGTCTCTCAGCCTCACTCACCTCACAGAGTGTTTGTTGTGGGGGAGGAAGGGAAAAGGAGAATGTTAGCTGCTTTGAGACTCCTTAGGGTAGTGATAAAGCGGGATATCAAATCCAAACACCTCCTCCTTCTTTGGTGAGGTAGTATGTACTCTGACAGACTGCCAAGCTTTGAGGGAGTTTTCTTGGGGAAGTTTAGTTGAATTGAATCCTGCTCTCAACAAGCCTTGTCAGAAAAGCAAAACCACTCTGGTTTTTTTTTCTGCTCAGCAGATATATTCCGTTTTGTTCGGTAAATGTTTATTTTTCTCTCTCGACTCCCATCTGCATTATTCAAGTGCCTCTGCTAACAACAGCAGGTTGATGAAGGCTACTCTAGCATGACTCCAAAACAGAACCCAAAAGATGACCACACTGTTAAAGATATAACTTTAATATGCATAAAATGCTACGTTTGACTGCATTGTATTTAAAATGCTATGCAGAGAAGTTTGCATTAGGCACAAGAGGTTTGTCTACAGCAGATGCGGCAAGGAGAGTATTTCAAGCATATTGATGGCTCATCGCTGGAAACCCAAACTTCATTCTCAGCAGGAAGATGTCCCTGAGTGCACTCCTGTACTTGAAGCCATTCATTCCTATAGGGAAAAGCAGATTGCTCCCCTTGGCCGGGGGCATTGTTGGGGCATTGTACTGGTAAGATTTACCCATGTTATCCAATGACCTAGTATTCACTGATAGGGAATGAAAAGGGTACATGAACTTGCCTTGGTAGTTTTGACTTTGTTTCCACTGCTGCATGACCAACCTGAGTAATCTGGAAGCACTTTACAGTCTTCTCCGTCCAGGCAAGGGTTCATATGACACCACCACTTCTGGATGACAATGGCAGCTGGAAGACAAAAAGGAAATGGCTTGTTAAAGAGCAAAATGGAAAACGTGCCATCACGTTGATTTATAAGCAAATGCAATGCCAACCGAGTAAGTTCAATTCTCATGGGAAACTGTGGTTTGATGAAACTAGAAAGGATTATATCAAGGGGAGAAGGCAGGGGCAGGAGAGATGCTTCAAGCCGTTGCTGATCCTCCAAAGCTGACAGCATACAGCAACTGGGCAGACTGAGAACATGGTATCTAAATGCAATCATCATGTTTAATTCAAGCTGAGTATATAGACCTCGCGCAAAAGTCATTCTAGGATCACTCCTCCAAAAATAGTTCCATAGATGGAACTTAACCACGTTTACTCAGAAGTAAGTCTTGCTAAAGTCAACATAAACATACTTGCCAGGACTGAAAACTCAGAAGCAGAAGAATGGTTTTCAAAGCAAAAGCCTGGTGTAACAAGCTAGAAATATATGGACCTTTACCAACAAAGCAGTTGAAGGTCAGACCATCTATCGCTTTTGTAAATAGGAGTAAAAAGATTTTCTGAAAATAGGAATCATACCTGCACGTAACATAAAATACAAATCTTACCCCAAACCACAGGAAATATAAATCCTTGACTTAACAGATGCAACTATTTTGGGGGTGTTAAAAGGTTTTAAGATTGTATATCAAAAATGTCGGAAATTGATACTTTTTGTAGGTCACTAAAATTGCATATATTGCTTTAACTGTTTTTATATATGTAGCTGTCTTATATAAATGAAATTAATAATAATGATAGCAGACAGCAATCCTAGTCTTACCACCTGACTAAGCACAGAGTCAGCTGAACCCAAGGACCAGGCCAGCTCTGCCACACCTTGTAAAACCCCAAATTCAGCACCTGGTTTTACTTTCTTAGCAATGAGTCTCAGTGGAATGGGCTAATCAGGATCCCTCCTTATGCAGAAGAGGTCTCTTCATGTACATTGCTTCTCGTGCTTGTCAAATGTGTGACTAGTGGGTTCACGAACAGGGAACGTGGCAGGAACGATGCAGAAGGCTAGCCCATGTGGCTCCATGACCTTCTCGCACATTATTTTAATGTGTGTGGGAGGGGTAGTCTGAACCCCTTCTACTGTTATCTCAGCCAATTAAGTATCACCTTGCGATTGTGACACTGGTGCTGTGCTAATCACATTCTTGCGTCTGGGGTGGAGAATCTGTGGCCCTCCAGGTGTGGCTGGACTTCAACTCCCATCATGCCTCGCCAATGTGGCAAATGTTCAGGGATTATGGGCGATGCAGTTTAGCAACATCTGAGGGGCCACAGGTTCCCCAATCCCTGGGTCTGCATGGTGGTGCCTGAGGGCTGTCTCCATTGCTAGAACCATTAGACCAGGGGTAGGCAACCTAAGGCCTGGGGGCTGGATGCAGCCCAATCGCCTTCTCAATCTGGCCCACAGACAGCGTGTTTTTACATGAGTAGAATGTGTCCTTTTATTTAAAATGAATCTCTGGGTTATTTGTGAGGCAAAAGAATTTGTTCATTCCCCCCAAAAAAAAATATAGTCTGGCCCACCACATGGTCTGAGGGACAGTGGCTGAAAAAGGTTGCTGACCCCTGCACTAGACTAATGCTTCTGCTGTTACTGCACACCATTGTTGGTTTCTTTTGCCTGCCAGAAACATAAGACATGGCAAGACAAAGTGTGTAGGCCTGTTTGTCTGTCTTCCATCTCACACAAAGCCTTTCCATTTCTTTTCCTCTGCAGGTGGTGGTGGGGGGGGGAGATGTATTTGTTTCCACCAGAACCAGCCTGAAATTCCCTGTTTTGGTGTGCTGCAGCTGTTTCAGTGCATCCATCGACCAGCCCAGGGAGCACTAACCCAGCTGGACTGGCAATGGAGGTTATTCTGCTCATATGGTACCACATCTCTAATTTTATTTCTAAGCTATTATGAGAACCATTGTTGGCCACTGGACATTTTGTAAAGAACAAAATAAGAAGAAGAAGAAGAAGAAGAAGAAGAGTTTGGATTTGATATCCCGCCTTTCACTCCCTTTAAGGAGTCTCAAAGCGGCTAACATTCTCCTTTCCCTTCCTCCCCCACAACAAACACTCTGTGAGGTGAGTGGGGCTGAGAGACTTCAAGGAAGCGTGACTGGCCCAAGGTCACCCAGCAGCTGCAAGTGGAGGAGCGGAGACGCGAACCCGGTTCCCCAGATTAGCAGACTACCGCTCTTAACCACTACACCACACTGGCTCTCGATAAGTAAGTAATAAAATATTCTGAACAGAGATTTTAGTAAGATACGTCTCTTTCTTTTAAGTAATGCTGTTGTATGCCCATGATGCATTCCTGCATAATATTAGGCTGCTTAAGAGTGCAATCCTGTGCACTTTTACTCAAGTATGTTTCCTTGTGTTGAGCTTCAGCCGAAATCCATTTAACTTCAATGAGATTCAAGCAGCCTCTGTACATGATTGCTGGCAAAGACAGTTGCCCTTCATCAGTCTTCTCTTTCATTTTCATAATGTGATCATTAGTATTTTCATATTTTTTTTCCTGTGCAGGGAGACCCCATAAAGCGTATTTATACATCCCTTATTAGATTTGATTCAGTGGGTGCAATTCATCAATTCATATGAAATTACTTTACAAATTTAAATTGAATTTCAAGCTAAAATATGGAAATAAATGTTAATTCTGTTATCTAACATGATTTTACTGTGTATAGCTGATTAAGGTGACAATCCAAAATCCACTGACCTGGAAGTCTGTCCCCTGAGTTTAGTGGGACTTATTTCTGGGTAGACATACATAGATTATTTACTCTACAGTAGCATACCAAACCACAATTCTTACATGTAAAGGACAAAACAAACTATTATCTCACAGGGTGCCCCCCTATAAATTATGTAACAGCAGGTTGGCAGTGGTAAATTCAGTAGCTTTTGATACTGATTCAATTATTTCATTTCTGCTATGCATTTTCAATGTGGGTAACAGGCGTGTCTTTGGATGGGAGTCTATCATTATGTATTGTAATTTTGTTACCTGAAGTTTCATTTAATAAAATATGCATACAATCTACCAGATCGTAATATAATGCTACCAGCAAATATTTATTCCAGCTCCTTAGTTGGCTGCTACTTAGTTTTTGTAGCTTTATGCTTAGGTTGCCTTTATGAAACTGTTTAAATGTTGCGATCGTTTTGAATGATGTTTGTGTCTGAGAAGTTATTGCAAGCTCCTTTGTTAGGGCTTGCTACAAAACTGGGAATCTAAATCTGGAACATACCTTGTGAGGGTATCCACTCTGTTTTAAATAAACAATAAATAAACAATTTCTCTTGAATGACTTCTTTTGCTGATCTCCCAGATGCCACAAACATCTAATTTTCCAGGAGCAGGTTCTCTCATCCTAGGTACCATGGCTTATGCAAACAGCTACTGGTTTAGCAGTGCAGTCCTAAACAATGCCTACTCAGAAGTAAGTCCTGTTCGGAGGTTCTAGCTGGGGAGCACAGCTATCGCATACCCTTGACAGAAGAAGAAGAAGAAGAAGAAGAAGAAGAAGAGGAGGAGGAGGAGGAGGAGGAGGAGGAGGAGGAGGAGTTTGGATTTGATATCCCGCTTTATCACTACCCAAAGGAGTCTCAAAGCAGCTAACATTCTCCTTTCCCTTCCTCCCCCACAACAAACACTCTGTGAGGTGAGTGAGGTTGAGAGACTTCAGAGAAGTGTGACTAGCCCAAGGTCACCCAGCAGCTGCATGTGGAAGAGCGGAGGCGCGAACCCGGTTCACCTGATTACGAGTGTACCGCTCTTAACCACTACACCACACTGGCTCTCAACGGTACACTCCTTCTATCTGTGGTGGTCGTCCTCTTCCACCAAGCACGCAGCTTCGGGAGGGACACACATGGAGCAGTGAGGAAGGGGACACCCGCCTAGCCAGCCAGATCAGCCGAATCAACCCTGGCGATCAATGGGGTGACAGATGTGGCAGCCACTCGCAGCATTTGAGGAATTTCAGTAATAGTTGCAAGTTAGACATGAGAGTTAAGATATATATTAAGAAAAACTTAAATTATGACGAAAGTGCGTATTGGCAATAAGTAATATAAAATTGAAATAAGGACTAGACGGGAGGTCGGGTCTATAGTGCTAAGACCAATTTATGTTTTGTTGTTTGTTAAGAAAATTTTGTGTTTATTGTTATTCTTGTGTGTAATTTTGTATTTGTGTTTTTTTATGTATCAATCAATCAATCAATCAATCAATAAAGAAGTAAGTCCTCTTGAGATCAGCATAGCATATTCCTAGCTATAGGACTGCAGGCTAAATTGTGTGTGTGTTTTCTTTCACAGCTAGAAACACACTAAGGATAACATCTGTTGTCACTTTTTTTTGTCAGGGAATCCCGATGGGGTTTAGAACTACTCTTGTCTCGCTAGCAGTGTTCAGAGAAGCTCTCCTAATTACGGTTTTCTAAGGAATGAAGATATCAGAAGGCTGCTTTCGTTTTGACAAAAGACTACATCTTGAAGGCGAAGATTTACCAGTATTCTGGGATTAAATCCTCTGGGTTTCTCTAGTTCCCTAGATGAAACAGAAGTTTTCTTTAAAAGCAACTATTGTTAGTGCAGAGTGTACCACCCTTCAAAGTCCTTTGGCACACGGAATACTTCGGCTTGGGAAGATTTACTCACAGCCCCATTTTACACACTGGGAGAAGGCAGTTACACAAGGCTTATTAATGCTTTATCTTCTCTTAGCGGCTGCCAGCCAAGTTCCAGGTACTAACCCGAGAGTGTTTATTCCCACAAAAGAGAAGGGGGGGGGAAATAAAGCCAAATCCCTTGATGATTGCTTTAAAGTCAAGTGTTTGCCGCTTGTTTAAGTAACACAGAAGAGGTTGACCTTTAATGAAACACAATAGTGTGTGGCTCTGTTGGACTCCTGCAACTGCAGCGCAAAGGCAGTTAAAAGCTGCTGCGATCCCTTCCCTTT